ATCACATGGTCAGATTATCAGATTATGACATGGTCAGATTATTGATCACATGGTCAGATTATCAGATTATGACATGGTCAGATTATTGATCACATGGTCAGATTATCACTTGGTCAGATTATTGATCACATGGTCAGATTATTGATCACATGGTCAGGTTATCACATGGTCAGATTATGACATGGTCAGGTTATTGGTCACATGGTCAGATTATCACTTGGTCAGATTATTGATCACATGGTCAGATTATCAGATTATGATCAGATTATGGTCATATGATCAGGTTACTGATGGTACCTGAGCCTTGCTGATGGAGTACATGACACAGACGGCTCTGAACGGGGTCAGGTGGTAACAGGCAGCATGGTAGTTCACCTGAGATCAGCAGCCAATCAGAGAGCAGTTATTGATCAGTCAATCTATTGATGAGTGATTGATCAGAATCAGATCATACCTGGCACTNGATTATTGATCACATGGTCAGATTATTGATCACATGGTCAGGTTATCACATGGTCAGATTATCAGATTATGACATGGTCAGGTTATTGATCACATGGTCAGATTATCACTTGGTCAGATTATTGATCACATGGTCAGATTATTGATCACATGGTCAGGTTATCACATGGTCAGATTATCAGATTATGACATGGTCAGATTATTGGTCACATGGTCAGATTATCAGATTATGACATGGTCAGATTATTGATCACATGGTCAGATTATCAGATTATGACATGGTCAGATTATTGATCACATGGTCAGATTATCAGNATCAGGATCATTAAACCAGATCAGGAACATTAAACCAGATCAGGATCATTAAACCAGATCAGGAACATTAAACCAGATCAGGATCATTAAACCAGATCAGGATCATTAAACCAGATCAGGATCTTTAAACCAGATCAGGATCTTTAAACCAGATCAGGATCTTTAAACCAGATCAGGAACGTTAAACCAGATCAGGATCTTTAAACCAGATCAGGATCATTAAACCAGATCAGGATCATTAAACCAGATCAGGATCATTAAACCAGATCAGGATCTTTAAACCAGATCAGGATCATTACACCAGATCAGGATCATTAAACCGGATCAGGATCTTTAAACCAGATCAGGATCTTTAAACCAGATCAGGATCTTTAAACCGGATCAGGATCTTTAAACCGGATCAGGATCTTTAAACCAGATCAGGATCATTAAAC